GGTTGTGCCTGTTCTGCCCGTGGTTTTTCCCCCAGTGTGGCCAGTGCACGGACACGGGGCTGGGTGATGGGGCTGGGTGAGGTGGGCTTGGGGAGTTACCATGCTGCAAACTCTGCTCAGCAGTTACATCGTGTTGCCTTCATTTCTGGAGGCAGCTGCGTCCCAGGGACAGGGGAGGACACTTGGGTAAAACAGAGCTTTGCTGGTTGCCTAGGGATTATTATTATTATGATGTATTATTAATAATAATTATTATTATTATAGTTTAGGAGAAAACAGACAGGAGATACAAGAGAGGACCCCTCAGTGAGGGCTTAGGGGATGTACATCGTGTTGCCTTCATTTCTGGAGGCAGCTGCGTCCCAGGGACAGGGGAGGACACTTGGGTAAAACAGAGCTTTGCTGGTTGCCTAGGGATTATTATTATTATGATGTATTATTAATAATAATTATTATTATTATAGTTTAGGAGAAAACAGACAGGAGATACAAGAGAGGACCCCTCAGTGAGGGCTTAGGGGATGTCTGAGGTGTGGAGCAGCAGATGTTTGGATGAAAATCCCAATCCAGGGATTATGATTCAGACACGGGGTCGGTCTTGGGGAGTGGACCCTGCACTCTCGTTGGCACCAGCCGTGCTGCTGCTTCTCCATCAAGGCCGATATGTGAGCTGGGTGTGTACCGCGTGGCTCCGAAACTCGGCTCTCATAAAGAAACACATTTCCTCCCCAATCTTCAAGCTGTTGGGTGTTCCTTGCTTTTGGGAGGTGCTTTAAATCCGACTGCCAGAGCCGTGGGCTGCTAAGAGCAGAAGCTGACTGCACGATGCTGAGCTCAGGTCTTCCTCCTGTTTTCCTGTTGCTCACAACGCTGGAGCTCAGCTGGTCCCTGAGCGATGAAGAAAAGAAGATAATCTTGGATGGACATAACAAATACCGCTCCCAGGTGTCTCCTCCTGCTATGGATATGCTGAAGATGGTAAGTGGCTTTCATGGCAGAGGGTGTTTGTGTGGTGCAAAGCCTGGGTCGCAATGCAAGGAGGGATCGGGGTTTTCTTCAGGGGAGGCAGAGCAATTCTGTGGGAGGGTTCCCTCAACTGCCTCTAAAGAGATGAGTTTCTTTTCACCTACAGAGTTGTCTTTGATTGTTTGTGGAAGTTCCAAAGTGTGATCCCAGTCCCCTGATGCTCTGAGCGATGCGGGTCTCACTCACCTGAGCGCTCGCTGGAGCTCCTTGTGATGAGGAGGGGAGGCACGTGGGACATCACCACGGGCTGGAGGGGGATCTGCTGTGTGGGGCACTTGCCTTTGCAGGTGGATGGGTTTTATCTATAGGAGGGAACAACAACTTCAAACGTGACCACCAGGTTGTTCAGTTATTTGGGTTTTCCATCACTCTCCTAATCCCCACCGTAGCTTGTGTGTGGCTGTGCTGGAGGTGCAGGAGCTCCTAAAAAGCTCTCTTCTTTTTGTTTGGGGAAACTGAGTCAGGTGTCCATCATCACTTGTGGCTGCAGTGGGGACAAAAACAAGCTCTTGAGCTGGTGCTGCTTTTTGTCTAATTCGGACACTTGATTTGATTAAAATTTGGCTCTCGTGTTTATCTTGCACCACATGGGATTTTCTCACTGTTTGCCACGCGCACGGGGGAGGAGGACAATGGTTTATCGTGGACAGTTGGAGTGCTTTGCTCTTCTGGTCACTATGGGCTTGGAGGAGACCTCTCTCCCTGTCCCACAAGTTGCCCAGGCTGAATTAAACCTTTGTGGGTTGGTAAATGGGAATTTACAGAGCAAATGAAGCAAAAAACCTATATTCAGGCACAGGAGGTCTGATTAGTGACCTCGGACTCAAAGGGGACAGAGCCAGAACCCTGAGCACCACGATCCCACGGAGACCCACCAAAGCAAGGCACAGAAAACTCAGAGAATGAGGGTTTTGGAGCCAAAGGCTCAGAGAAAGCCTGAGGGAAACAACTTCCCAAGGTCCTTAAGCCCATTCTGAACCCGGCTGAAGCTTTGATTGCAGATTGTGGGCTTTGAGATGCTCCACTCCACAGCTGCTTTGTGTCTGCTGAAAAATACAAAACCCGCTCGCAGCCCAGAGCCAAAGGCCTTTTTTTTGCCTTTTTTTTTCTTTTTTCTTTCTTTTCTCTTTTCTCCTTTTTCTTTTTTCTCTTTTCTCTCATTTCTCTCTTTTTTCTTTTCTTTTTTCTCTTCTCTCTTTTATCTCTTTTCTTTTCTCTTTTCTTTTCTTTTTTCTTTTCTCTTTTCTCTCTCTTCTCTCTCTTCTCCCTCTTTTTTATTTTGTCTTTTTTATTTTGTCTTTTCTCTCTTTTCTCTCTTTTCTCTCTTTTTTCTCTTTTTTCTTTTTTTCTCTTTTTTTCTCTTTTTTCTTTTTTTCTCTTTTTTTCTCTTTTTTCTTTTTTTTCTCTTCTCTCCTCTCTTTTCTCTCTTCTTTTTTTTTTCTTTTTTCTTTTCAGCACAACACATGTTTCACTTACAGCAGCCCTGACAATTTCTTGGTAGAGGTTTTCCATGAGAGCATCGTCCCCTCGCTTCCCTCCCGGGACGTTTGCTTGGACTGTCTTTGCCTCCGAGTTCACCTGCTGCCGTGGCACCGAGCCCGGCTGAGCTCACCCCACGCTTCTGTTTGGGACACGGATCTGGTTGCTGTGGAAATAGTCGGGTGATGAGGGGGATACGCAGCCTAAAGCCACTTTTCTTATTTAATGAGGCAAATCCTGCAGGTGCGAGTCCCTGTTGATGGAGCTCAGCTCTGTGCCAGAGGGAGAGGGATGTGCGCTCCCCAAAGTGGGTCTCCAGTACCTGAAGGGGCTACAAGAAAGCTGGGGAGGGACTTTTCATAAGGGCAGTTAACGACAGAACAAGGGGAAATGGGTTTAAGCTGAAAGAGGGGAGGTTTAGATGAGATATTAGGAAGAAATTCTTTGGTGTGAGGGTGGTGAGACAGTGTCCCAGGTTGCCCAGAGAAGCTGTGGCTGGCCCCCCCCGGAAGTGTTGAAGGCCAGGTTGGATGAGGCTTTGAGCAACCTGGTCTAGTGGAAGGTGTCCCTGCTGCTGGCAGGGGGGTTGGGACTGGATGAGCTTGAAGGTCCCTTCCAAACCAAACCATTCCATGATTCCAGCCACTGTGCTCAACCTGGTGTGGGGCCATGGTGGGAGGTCAACCACCGTCCTGTGCCCCCATCCAGATATTTTGGTGTTTCCTCCCCGCCCCAGTCCCTTAGCGCCGCTGCTCAGGGGCCACATCCCCTCAACACCCCAGTGGTGACATGTCCTGTGTCACAGCCGTGCTCTGTCCCCTTTGGGTCCAGCTCTGCTCCATCTGAGAAGGTCCCCCCTTAGGACCCACCATTTACTGGGCTGCCTTCCAGCTGGCTGCAGAAGCAAAGCTGCTGTCTCCATCAAATGGTGCAAGGACAGTCCAAACAGCTGTGGTGTAGGGTTCTCTGTATGCCTCCCTGCGAGAAAACCTCCCCTCCTCCTCCTTCTCCTCCTGCATATCAACGTGGTCAGCAGGGGACCCCGGGCTGGTGGGCTCAGCTGGCGGTGGAGGCTCTTGGCAGGCAGCCGGCCGCGTCTCGGGTCCAGACAAACAGATGATGTTTCCCAGGAGCGAGTGCTCCCAGCCTATGTGCAGCTGCTCGGGGAGATGTGTCCTGCTCTCCTCCCATGCCCACCCTGGTCAGGGAAGGGTGTCCCCAGTCCCCCTCCCGTGTGATTCAGGGTGAGTTTCCTCCTTCCTCCATCCAACTTCAGTGGTTTCTCCACGTGGAATTGAGGATGCTCCATGATGATGTCAGAGATGCTCCAGGCAAGGCTGTGAGAGTCGTGCTGATGCTCTGACCTTCCCCTGTTTGACCTATAAGCTGAGGTTTGGTTTGTGCTGGGACTGATTCTGGAGCTCCCCTCTCCTCAGGACCACGTTGGGTTGGGATTTGAATTTTACTCATGAATGGGGTAATTGTGGCCAAAGAGCCCAGAGGTCCTTGGTAGGTGTCCTGGTGTCTGTCAGAGAGCCCAGTGTCCCTCTCTGTGTGCTGACACTGAGCTCCTTCCAGAGCTGGGACACGGAGCTGGAGGCCTTTGCTCAAGCCTATGCAGAGAAGTGCATCTGGGACCACAACAAGGAGAGGGGCCGACGGGGGGAAAACCTCTTCGCTATGGCCCCAACCCTGGACCTGGAATTTGCTGTGGAAGACTGGAACGGGGAGGAGAAATATTACAACCTGTCGACTTCCACGTGTGTCCCTGGGCAGATGTGTGGCCACTACACCCAGGTACCAGGCTGCTGGGGTGGAGGGATGGGGTTGTTGGGGAAGGAGTTCTACCAGGGTCTTTGCAAAGGAAAGGGGAGCCAGGTAGGAATCACAGGGATGCAGGGGGGACCTGGACGTGGTGCCAGCCATGACCAGCCTTTTGGAGAAGATCTTCTTTTTTTAACCAAGCTCTTCAGCTCTTTTTTGGGTGAGGTCTATGAGAAGAAACGCTATGAGGTCTGAGTGTTTCTTCACAGCTTGGGTGGGAGCAAGGAGGAGCAGAGGTGGTGGTGGTAAATATGAGGATGGATGGATGGAGGGTTCCAGGACCAAATAGAGAAGGTGATGCTCTGCTTGGGTGGACTACGTGGTAGGAAAGCTGTGGCACTTGGATATGTGGGCTGCAGCCCTCAGTTGGGAAGGTGGTCCATGGGCAAGGAGCAGGATCTGGACAGTTAAATGTGGAGATGTGGGATCTGGCTCACACACTAAGAGATGAGGGGGACATTGGTGTAGTGACAGAGCAGCCACCACGGCCAGAGGGCGGGTTACCAACAGGGCACCTTCCTTCACCCAAACACCTCACCTTCACCTTTGCCTTAGGTGGTCTGGGCAAGCACACATCAGATTGGCTGTGGGGCAAAGTTCTGTGAGAAGATCGATGGAATCGAAACAGAGGACATGTACCTGCTGGTTTGCAACTATTATCCCCCGTAAGTCCCATGTCTCACGTGGGTTGGTGCATCTCCATGGGGTTTCTGTGCTGGAAATGTCCTTCCTTCAGTCCTTTATCAGAGCAGGATCTGGCCTTGTTCAGAAATAAAAGCCAAGGCCTTTGTTATCTTGGGCTGGTCACAGAGGAAGGAAGGGCTGTCTGGTGATCCTTGCCCATGATTGCCATTTTTGAGGTCTGGTTCAGCTCCTGGCACAGACCCTAGGAGGGACCTCCCCACCCCCCCTGAGACCTACCCCAGGCTGATGCTGCAATAGCTGAGGGTACCACCAGCAGCTCCCTGTTCTGTGTCCTGTTCTTCCCCAAGAGCAGCAGTGCTCTCCTGGGGTGGAAAAGCCCGTTTGCACCAGCAGGAAGGGTTGGACATGGGAGGAGAGGTGGGTTCCTGCTTGCAAAGCCCTGGGACAATCCTTGGGGACCACTTGCTTGGATCTGGTGAGACCAACAAGAGCAGCTGGTTGCTGCAGATCTTCTTAGGGGTCTTGAGCAGAAAGGAGACAATAATCACCTGTCCAAATGCCTATTGACTGCTCTGTTCTAAGGGGTGGTGAAGGATCTGGTCCATGGAGATGTCTCCCCTGGTTTTAGCAGCCTCGGGGTCAGGCTGTTGAGTAAATGGCACTGACAGTCTGGGGCAGGAGACCAGAACCTGGGGTTTTTTACATCAATCCTGAGTTTTGACTTGGCTGGGACGTTCCACTTGAATCAGATCCCCTCGTTGTGATGGGTGTTTCCCCATCTCCTCACACCTTCTTTTTCTTGGTGTCTTCTCCTTCCAGGGGCAACATGAAAGGCCGGAAGCCGTACAAGGAAGGACCCTCATGTTCGCAGTGTCCCGAGGGCAGAGTCTGTGTCAACTCTCTGTGTGGTAAGTGAAGCAAAGCGGCACGTGGCCCTTGACAGGCTGTTGGGACTCAGACCCCTGGGTTGGGGTCCAAGATTTGAACCCTCCTGGAGCTATCAGGAAGCCCTGGACCAAGAGTTCCAGGGCTGGACCATGAGACATGAGGTACAATGGGCAGCCCCTAAGACAGGTCAGCTGCCTCAAGATGAGGAGGATCAAACAAGGACCTCATACCCCCTTCAACCAGCAACTTATGCCCCATGAGGGTGACCCTTGAGGGGCAGGAGGTTGTGTGAGGGAGTTGAGATGTCTCCAGGTTGGGAACCCCAGAGTGGAGGATGGCCCAGAATGACCCGAGAGGGGTCAGCTCCTGCTTCACCCCCCTGCTGATTTCTGCTGGCCCTCCTCAGTGAGGGGATCTGTTGAGGCCAGCTGACCCCAGCCTTAACCCGTGGCACTTTTCATCTCTTACCAGAACCCACTGTAGAAGAGACC